TAACCGAACGCCACAAGTGTATGTATGGGACTGATTAGGACTCTGGAAATGAGATTAAAGAGAGCTCTACCAACAGATTGAACTGTATTTGCCATAATTGCTGAGAACAGCTTATTCAGTGCAGACCGCAAAAAAGAGAGCCATAAAACCGAGGAAGGAGCAGGAGGAGGAGGAGGAGGGAGACTGCCACTTGAAACCAGCTAGCTTTGCTCAAAGAAATCAAACCCAGGACAAGTCTTGTGTCAATTAGACGGTGTGTGCGTGTTTGTGTTAAAAAACGGGTGGGTGGGAGTAGGATAGCATATGGATTAGCCCTCAGTCATAAACTCAGAGCTCTGCTTTAAGGTAGTATTTTTTTCATTATTAGTAATCTTGATTATTTTTAAAGGCAGGCTCCTCTATTCCACCACATTAAATCCCCCCTGCGCATGAATATATCTAAAACGAGATAACTGATACGGCCCTGACCCTCGGTTCCCAGCATCCCGCTGAAAAGAGCTCTAATGAAAAATAAATCTTGTGAAGAGAAAAAGAGCAACAGACAAATCAATAGAGGCACAGGCTGAAAGATAAAAGCGAGCGCTGTGCGCCAAAGAGCTGTACTCGCTCTCTCATTCCTGGGTTGATTGTGCTTAAAGTGAAACCACATGAAGTGGGCTGCTCCCACAGAGGAAGTAAGAGTGTGTGGAGCTAAAAGTACACAGACTTCAGCACCTAAAAAAAAAAAGAGGGGGGGGGGGACGTGGTCCTTCTCTGTTACATTAACTGTTTGTGGCTAAATGAGCGGCATTAAAGTTGAGCCACAAAATGCTTCATCAGATTGAGTGGGTGTGGTTTGATTGGGTTGGATTGACACGCGCACACAGCTGTGATCTTGGCTGGCGCATTGTGAACATTTTGAGTCCAGCATAATAAAATAAACAAAAGCACAAATCGGACATGTAAAATAATCACAGCTCTTCCGACCCGTGGGTTTATGAGGATCTCCATATTAAAAATCAGACTTTAACAGGTTTAATGCTGGAAACATGATAGTGCAGTCTGTGGCAGTGAAGCTCACACAGCAGAAATCTAAAATTAGAAGCTGAAATAAATGGACAGTTCATTGCTTCACTATTATGCAGCATATATTACTCTCGTAGGCCATTTCCCCCTCTTCCTCTCCGGCGTTCATTAGATGTGGGGGAATAAATCCAGATATCGATACCAGCACTGGTATGGGTATCAGATCGGATTGATACTAGCGCCACAGGAGCGCTCAGTAATAATAATGTTTACTTTATGTGGGGAAATTCTTCCCTGCACTTAACCCATTCTCTCAGTGCAGCAGTGGGTAGCTACCGTGGAGCAGTGGGTAGCACCGTTTCTGAAATAGTCCACTTTTTCTGCTGATAAAGCTCTAGTGACTGAGTGGAAATTCTGCCCCATCTCACATCTCCTTCAGTGGCTTGGTATAGTTACTGCTCGCTTACTTATGTTGAAGGTTAGGAGTTCAGTCACAGCACTGGACACTTTTCGTGATTTCATTATACTGTGTATTAAACATCCACACACTTTTCAGATATCTGTGTACAAAATGAGAGACAGCTTTATTACACTAAGGTAAATGTCCCCCAACACTGATTGCAGAAACTCTAAGCAATTCCATAAGGTACAGAGCAGCTGTTGTACCTTATGGAACACCTGCGGCCTGTTAAAGTAGTTGCCCATCTTTAGTGTAACACCGAGGGCTGTGGGAGCACTGCAATTTCAAGTTCCCGTGTATGATCTGTATATATGGTTTTTGACAATAAAGCTGACTTTGAGGCAGCCTCTATAAAACCTATACAGTAGCAACAATCCCACTGCAATTTCTCCAGAAACTGCAGAGTCAAGTTACTCTATACTACCTGATTCGGTCTGAAAGGCCCTCTGTAAAGTTCAGAGGGTGGAGGGTGGTTCCCTCTCACATGGCCAGAATCATAGTATCGTCCTTTCCAACAGAATGTACAGAAAAGATGACCGTCGTAGCGCCACCTATTGATTAGTACAAAATTTTATCTCTAGTATTTTCATGTGATGAGTCTGGGATGGATGTGACTGAGAAACTCTGAACATGGCTAAGGTTGTTTTTGCCATAGACTATACAACTGGAAATCTTTTTGTAACCACAGACGTCGCCCCCTGCTGGCCTGTCAAAAGAAAAGCGTTTAAAGACCATTCCTTTCCATACTAGAAATATCACCAGATTTTTCAGCTATCATGTTAATGGAGTGTTTAATTTGTTCACCATTTAGCACTTTGTCACGCTAACGTGTTAATTAGTACAAAAACAAGCACAGTTAAATGGGAGAAAGAGTCTGGGGCTTCGATTGCAAAGGACGACTGGCAGAATAAGTGTCTGATGCAGCACATTCACCAGCTCAGGTGCCTGGAGAGAAATTCTGCTGGAAAAACCTATTAAGATATTTTAGAACCCCTAAATTAAAATATGTGCAGACGGGTGAAACGACGAGTGGTTTTTGTTGGCAGAAGTGCAGCGAACAGCTGGCCTCGCTACCCCATACTGTGTATGTATATATGTATTTTGGAGTCGATCATTTCGTCTCACTGGGAGGTAACAAGGGCAACACAGACTTGGAAATGACTTTTCTTTATGCACGACTCGTACGTGTAACATCCTGAGCAGTTTACTTGTCAAAGATAAACACTTATTAATCATTTCTTAAATAAATAAGATAAAGAAGTCTTTACTTATTGTGCGTACATTCAAAAACAGGCTCAAGAACTTTTGACTCACACAGTCCAACAATTAACAGGTGTTTTTGTTTTGCTGCTTTCACTTCCTTAAGGCAACCTACACAGTTTTTGTCTTCCGTCTTCAGCACATTGAGTAATATAGCGCTTTCCCTGTTTTGGACATACACCGATCCTCTTAAGCACATGTATGACCAACTCTTTCTTTTTTTTTAAGTTCGTTCCATGTGAGAAAAACCCAGCTTTTCTTTCCAAAGTACAGCTGTTCATAAACCATACACACACAGGTGATGAGATTAACACGTGGCATGAGTTCAAAATCTGACTTGCTGATGGTGCCAGACAAAGTCAGGAAATCATCAAAAAGATCCGGTGAAGAACACAAATGTCTTCACCACATCCTCATCCTGTAGCCACTGAGGCATTTCAGCTGTGCTACAGTACCAGCAGTGCTAATGTTGTAATGACAAAAGACACACACACAACACAATATAGTTTTCTATGTTAGGCACTTTTATTGATTTTGTATGACTGATTCACAAATACAACTATTCTTGCCAAGAGCCTCCGCCCAGTTAAACAGACTGGTTAAACAGTAACATTTAAAGATTCAAACGGATTCATACTTTAGCCTTTAAACGGTAGAGGGAAAAAAAAAAGAAACATCCAAAAAGTTTGTGTTAACCATTAAAAAAAAATCTGCAGAACAAAACAGAGGAAAGGTTTGATGGGTGTAAACAGCTTTTTGTGTGTGTGTGCTAAATATAAAAACAAAGCGTATTAGCTGGAAGGGTAAAGAGGAGTGTTTCAGATGAGTAATCGTTCAGGGGTTGTTCTTATCAAATTAGTATCCTACAGTAAAACCTCAACGTGTTTTGTGCCGTTCTACTTCCAGACCTGCTGAATAATGTCACACTGTAGTAAAGTAATTAAAGTACAAAGCTATGAAAAATATATCAGTGTAAAGGCACAAGAGACTCGCTCAACAATCACAACACCACCACACTACACCATCAGGAGCCACAAAGAGCCGGCTCAGGGGTACGCGTCTGCTGCTCTGGGATAGCTGCATGAATCAGCTGCTCTATAAAGTCGAGTTTTAGCGGTTTTTAAAAAGAGGTTTGGTTTAAAAAGCAGTAACACACAGCAGCAGATATTAGCAGATGAAGCTTTATCACTTTAGTTTCTTATGCACATTTTTAGCGTTTCTCAGATTTCTAATAAATGCCACTAGTGTTCAGTAAACGCATGCAGCTGTAACAGCTTCCAAAAGCAGCAACTGCCTACCCCTGGTCTGCAGTGATTATTACATTTTCTACCAACTTGGCCTGCCAAGTTTCACCACTAGAGGACACTCTGGTTTAAAGAAAAAGACGACGTGCCACTGCAAACTGTAGGACACAGCAAGAAATCGCCGCTTCACACCCCTGTGATTCGAATCCTGCGTGACCAGTGCACAGATTCGTGTAACCGGACTGTGAGATAACTGAGCACTCACCCAAATATACCTCATACAACTGTCTACAAGCGCGGCAAGAAGGCTTTAGATTTGGATCCACTTCAGGTCTTTGGCATCCGATTAGTTTGGACCTCCAGAAGAGAAGAAAAAAAAGAAAGAAAGAAGAAAGGTGTGCCACAAAATGAGTTTGACTTAAAAGAAAGCGAGTGAAAGTTAAAGGACAGGTTCACGTAGTTTCATCTGATTTTCAGCCCGTCTGTACACTGACTGATTTACTGGGAGCTGTAATCATTTTTTGAGTCAAAAACAAATGCAAATATTAAGGCTTCATTCCCCACAGTTAAATTTACTGTGATTTCACCATGTCACCGTGCACTCCCAGCAGCTCTGCAAGGAAACAGGCAGGCAAAAGGAGCCTTTGCCCCAAAGTAAATACTAATCATTCAGCTGGATCTCATATTGCATTTGTTAAACTTAACACCAAGCTCATCTCAATATCTGCGTTGTCGCCTGCAAGCTGAAGCAAATCATAAAAGAGTTTTCAGACTCCCTCTATGTAAAACAAAAAGGTTTACCTACAGGAGCTAGCACACTACAAGAAATAGTCATTTAGCTTTAGGCTGATAACACACATGCACGATTTGCCGCTCTGTACACTGGCCAGGTACAGATAGGTGACTTGTAAGTACACCTAAAGTACCTTTCTGATATTGCTACTGTTGCGATTCTGTTTTTGCTTCATTTGAGTG